CTATATTGAACTTTCAATTTCAGATTATTAAAATTTGCTACACTCATATACAAGGTAATTAAATTAATAACAAATTGAATCGAAAATGCGTATAAATATATTTAATTTGTTTTCTAAATCAAAATTATCTGGTATCTTTTTTTTTATTTTGTTACAAGTAACACAGTTATTTAATCATCAATCTTAGATAAATATTATCCGTAAGCTGTTGATGCACACATTAAATCCTTATAAAAAATTTGTTTCCAAGATAAAATTTCTTGTGAATTCGCACGATCTCGGGAATCGTTGGAAGCAAGATGGTACCAATGCACAGATGCTCAGAAGCTATACTACAATACCATATAGAAAATGTTGAAGTGAGACATGAGCGAGGATGGTTAGGTTATACATAACGGAATCTATACTCCATACGATATTCAAGATTTCATATCGAATTGGATCGGACGTTGATAGTGCATTCGGCTGTCATCGGTTAATCGAATATATGCCAATGAGAAGAACGTTTTCTGTTACGAAATATCGAAAATATTTCCGAATTTGAATAAACGAAATTTACCCTTGATAATATCAAAAGCAAATCTCTCTCTCTCCATTCAATATATTCCTTTACTACTACCTTACCGGTATATTTTCAAAGTTTTCATTTAAATGACTTAAGAAAAAAAAATCATTAAATTTGCTTATACAGAGTGAGTTTGATTTTGATTGAAAGAAAAATTGCTATGCGAAAAAAAAATATCGAAAATTTTAATTATTGCCAAAGGGAATATTTTATTCTTTTATACGATAGATTTGATCTTGAAATAACGTAACCTTGACACGTAAAATTAAAATCGTATCAAAATTATCAGATAAAAGTTTATACGGTTATTTTCATTTTATTGCATATTCTTGTAAGTGAAATTTGGTAATTTTTCAAACTCTACTTACGTGTACATCTTTTTTTTTATTGCTTTATCCATTTTCGTTATAGTATATATATGTATAAAACACATGTACAAGTATATATGTATAGACTTTTGATCGTTGCAGTGAGCGATTCGAGTAGAAAATCCAATTCGGATATTTATCGATGGAAAAATTGAATGAAAAAGGAAAGAAGTATTAGACCGATCGTACATTCATAGAAAGATCCACGAGAGCGTGAAAGATCGATCGCTTCTATCTACTAAAATGATTAAAAAATGGCAGGAGAGAAGAAACCTGAGTACCGTTAGAAATCCTCGCATTACTTCTAATGGAAACCCTGGCTAATCTTCTTATTTTTAATAAAATAGAAAGATATATATATATATATATATATATGTATATACATATATAGAATATTTCCCTTTGGAAATATGCATTTAAAATAATTTTCCTTTTTTTTTCTTTGTTTTTTTTTTTCAATCTTTTATTCCATGTTCTGACATATCGTTTAATGGAATCATTGAAATGTATTGAGTTAACTGAAAAACACATGTAACGATTTTGTATACCAATTTACAGGAAATATTCTTAATTTTATATATACATAATACTTCAAAATAAATAAAAGAATATGAAATATACATTTATAAATTGACATAAATTTTCAATTAATTCAATAATTGAGCTGTTTATTTTAAAAGTGGTTAAAATCTATTTATATTCGAATTGAGATATTGAAGGGTTTGCGTTTCAATGCAATTAAAAATATACGTATGGGATATTAATAAGTTATACTGCTTAAGTGTATCTAAAAAAGATAAATTTATAGCTCCTATTAAAATAATGGCAATAATTAAGTGAATAATATGCCGTTTTCTTACCAAGAATAGAGTTAGGAAACTTTCAAAATTAACAACCAGATTCGTTATACAATTTGAAGGAACCCAAGTACATTTAACATAATTTAAAATGCTTCAATTGAAAAAAAAAAAACCATACCCAATTTATTTTATACATCTTTAGAACACTTTTAAAAATATAATTTATGTGATTCAAAACAATTTTTAATTATATAAATTCGGTTATATATAAGCATGTGTATAACGAGAATATTATATGTAAGAAATAGAAATTAGGAATAAAACCGTTCTAATTTTAGTATTTTTTCTATTTTAATGTGATTATTTTATCGCTCATGCGTAGTGATGACTAAGATAGTTAAATTGTCCTGTAATGTAAGAAGAATGTACTAGAATATTAAAATAATTGTTAATTAATCGTTGGGAATGTCTAATGTTGTCTGAAAGCTTGGTGTATATGATCTGTGTACCGTCCTCTTCGAGATTCACTTTCGGACTGGCACGTTGTCCTCTATCAAAATTCTTATATTAAATGTTGTTTATAAGACTTTCTGAATGTTGCGTATGTGTACAATGATAGTAATATTCCTAATAAAGAGAATTTAAGATTTTAACGTTTTTATTTTAGTATTTTTTCTATTTTAATGTAATTATTTTATCGCACATGCGCAGTGATGACTTCGAGAGTTAAATTTACACGTAATATAAGTAGAGTGTATTAGAATATTAAAATAATTATTAATTAATCGATGCAAGTGGCTATTGGTGTCTAGAAGCTCGGATTATATGATCTGAGTACCGTCCTGTTCGAAATTCATCTTCAGACTGACAAGTTGTCATTTATCAAAATGCATTTATTTAATGTGGTTTCTATGACTTTCCGAACATTGAGCATGTGCATAACTGAAATAATTTAACTAATCAATAAAATTTAAAATTATAACGCTCTGATTTTAACTTTTTTTACATTATAATGAAATTATTTTATCGCTCCTGCGCAGTAATGTCTTTGAAAATGAAACTGTCCTGTAATATAAGTAGAGTGCATTAAAGTATTATAATAATTGTTAATTAATCGATGAGAATGTCTAATGTTGTTTAAAATCCCGAAATATATGATCTATGTACCATCCTCTTCGAGATTCACCTTCAAACTGGCACGTTGTCATCTATCAAACTTCTTTGATAAAATGTTGTTTATATGTCTTTTTGAATGCTGCGTATGTGTGCAACAGTTCTAAAATTCCTAATAAAGAGAATGTAAGATTATAATATTCTAATTTAAACTTAATTAAACTAATTGATAAAAACAATTTATATATACTGCTCATACATTTTGGATGTGTTAAAGGGATTTAAAGAAATCATGATATTTCGTAGTAGGTCCATTATGTCCTTGAATTTTGCTGTTATAATTTGTCTAATATTTTCACTCAATGGTGTCAATACAATATTTTCGAACTTTTTTGGTCTACTCCGATGTGATAATAAATTCAGGACTTTATAATTTTTATTCTTATTCATTGGATGTCTTACAGAAAATTTTACACGGTTCATTTCTGACAAAATTCATTCAACATATTTTTAATCAGTTTATTGATTCATCGTTATAACTATAAAAGCTATAAAATTATATTTAATATATTAATAAATTCATAATATATATATATATATATATATATATATATTAATTATAAATATTATAAATAGAAAGGATATTTAGTTGCGTTAGGATTTCGATTACAGTTTTATTTTAATTTATTCCAATTTTTGTTCTACTCGTTTTTAATTCAAAAGCGAAAACGTTTAACGGCCCAATGTAATATCGATGTCATTTATATGTAGAAACGTGAAGTATATATAATAGTATATACATACATCGACGTTTGAGAGCAATCATTAAAAAGAAGAAAAAGTGAAAGAAAATATATTCGAAACAGAAAGTAAAAAAAAAAAAAATAAATAAAATCGAAAGAATTGTCGCGTAGAAAATTTTGTAACAAAATTACAAAAATAATAATCAAAAAACGACATGTAACGCCATTAGTGAACACGACGTTAATCATTAATTTACAGAAAGAGATGTTCATTAGCCAATCTATTTGCAATCAACTCTAAGCAACATTTTTAGAACGAAAAGCAACGTGAATATTAATTGACTACCGGTGCCTTTTATATTTTCTCTCTCTCTCTCTCTTTCTCCTTCTCTCACCCCTAACACACAAACACTCTTTTTCGGACTATTCTTTTGCAAGCTAACTATCGATCCATTTCACGCACGTAACAGAATAAATGTAATATATTACGGAATTCATAAGACATAGTTATTGCTTCGTTTCTATCCCGAATTCGAGACGTGTATTTAATTTACGTAATGTATTGTGAAACTATGTATTGGACACGTTTCTTTCGGTTATATACACAATTGGACCGTTTTAGTCAAATCGTTTACACATCTTCATTCACTCACTCACTCACTCACTCACACACACACACACACACATATATATATATATATATATATTTATATTTATATTTTTAGTAGTTTACTTCCAAAACAAAAAAAAACGAAAAGCTAAAAAATCACAAAAATGTATGTGCGTTATTGATCCTATCGTAAATTCAGATCGTATCATATAAAAAAAAATTGTTCGAGTAGAAGAATAGAATGCACATGAATGGATAATAAAACCCTAAATGTTAATCCTGTTGTACTAATAGTCAACCTTAATTGAACTATCCATTAATTTATTTATCTATTGATTAACGGCATAGAAATTTAATTATGTACTCGCTATCAGATTTATGTAATGGTAGCATTAATGTATACATATATACATATATGTGTGTGTGTTTGTGTCTGTACATGGATGTGTACTTACTAAATAGATATTTACATCGATGTAGATAATTTATCTTTTATACGTACAATGAATTACAATGAATTAGGAGTATCGATACTTCCAATGTCAATTAATATTTGCTAATGTAATTTGGCTAAATTTTTCTACATACAAAAATAAATTTTATCGGAAAGAAACATTTTATTGTAAGTATAATTTGACATATATGATAAAATAAGTTTCACAAAGTGACCAATGTAAAATGTAAAAGAAGTGTTAACCATGTACAATTTACTAAAATATTAATTTTATTTACTGTTATATCTTGTGCAAGTTTTAAAATTTTTTTAGGATTCATTTTTCTCAAATGATATCTCTTTGACAATAAAATACTCCTTAGTAATAAAATTGAATATCAATTTAAAAGATGAATTATTAAAAGAAGCAAGTTTTTGTGTACAAAAATTTGGAATTGTTTGTTCGTTTCTTTTTTTTTTTTTACAAATATCCTTTGATTACAAATATTCCCATGAGTCATTGTACACATATATTGTATATATGCTATGTATATTATCGGACGAGTTACGAATAATCCTATAGGGAATTTGTTGGAAAAGAAAAGAAAATTCACGGCGCGTAATGCGAGTATTCGGCAGTTACGAAACAGAAAGCGATAGCTACGGCGAATACTTTAGGTTCTTCTCAAACTGTTTTGTATTCACAATGCTTTTACTATCAGCCTTATAAACGTGGGCCCGCATATAAAGACGAAAGACGGACTTCTCCTAAGAACAGTTACATTTTTTCTTCGTCGATATAACAACTATAACTGATAGTTATGAAGGTAATAATTATTTTCTTTTTTTGTCCCTTTTTTTCTCTTTTTCTTTACTTTCCATCCTATTCATTAGAGACCAATTTCAAAAACAAATAGTTTATATATTTTGTCCTATAATATTATCTAACCAAAAAATTAATTAGAGAAAAATAGAAAATAATTTGATAATTATAGTATATTAAAATTTTAAATAAATCTAACATTTTTTAATACTACAAATTTTTTCGATTCTTATACCAATAGTTATACGAAATATTAAATCACATATCGTATTAAATAATTAGACAAGAATAACATTTTTAATTGCAACTACAAAATTAAAATTCATCCATTTGAACTAATCTTCGTTAGATACATTAATTTATACATTAATAATGCTATATTACTATTAAATGTTGCATAATTAATAAAAAAAGAATTTTAATATTAATAATTACAATACAATTTAAAAAGAGCCCACTATTTAAACCAATGCTTATTACAATTATTAGAAAATATTACAGCAATGAAAAATATCAAAATCAAAATTCTCGTATATCCTTGACCCAAAAATTAAAAAATCCAAAAAAACACAAAATAACAAAACTGTGCTTTAGATAATCTTCTTGATCCTTTGTATTGGAGTGGTATCATCAGCAACAGAATATATGCCCAGAGGATGGCGTCCAAGTGGGAGATACTTCAACCCTGGTCACAGTCAACCACACGCTTATTATCGACCGCCACCTGGTCCATCGAATACGATCACTTATCCAGCAGCTTTTTCACCTCCTAGTAATGCCCCAACAACACCTAGTACGTCAACGATACCAACTACTACAACTACTCCTATTACCACTACCACGACTGAGAGAACCAGAGAACCAACGACGCAACCGAATTTACCTGATGAAACTTTTGACACGAATCCGGCCCTTGCCATCGCCAATTCCTTCGCGTTCAACAGACCTGTCTACGTTTATAATACCTTCCCGTTTCTCCCAGGACACGTATTAGTCAAGTAACCTGACCAGAACCGAAGAATATCCAAGAGAGAACTTTGGAATAATCCGACCATCCTCTTCTCCTTCTCCTTCTCCTTCTCCTCCTCTCTTTTTTCTTCTTCTTCTTCTTCGCTTTTGTTCACGTATGTATACGTTTCATAGTATTGTCTATTATATATATATATATATATATATATATATACCACAGATACATTCCATGAACTAGTTATGTGTAATATTAGTTTTCGCGAATACATGCTCATCAACACTTTCTGCCATCAATTGTTTCCGAAACTTTATGCTTGTAATTTAATATGTAGAACCCTAGATTCTATTGTATTATTATTATTATTATATTAAATTAAATTATCCGATGAATATTTGTAAGTAAAATGATGTTTATTATTTTCTTTTATATTTATATATGTAAATGATATTATAGATCAATCATAAACAAGACAAGAGATGAATAAAAATTAATCTCGTTTTAGAGTGTGTGAAGTTATAGGTGCTAAATACGTCATAAAAATATGACGTATCTATCTGTCTATCTATCTATCTATCTATGGCGTACTGTATATATAAACTATCATCGATATTCCTACATTTTTACAATCTCGTACAAGTGAGATATGTCCAATTCTAACTGCATCTGACACTTTAAACGATCCATTTGAGAAGTATGTGCTTATATCCCATAACTTCCCCTGGTTGCACACACTTTACTCCTATGTTCATTGATCGCGCCTGATAGCACAACCAATGGCGTGTAGGAACATTAGTATAATCCGTGTTGAGAAACTTGGATAAATCTTTTTTCCTTCCTCACCAAAGGAATTATCATTGTCAACAATATTCTTACATCTTATCTATCTACATATATAGGTATTTCTATTTTTTTATTTTTATTTTGTTAATCTTTCTATTCGAGACAAATTTAATAATTATACAAATTTCAGTTGTGTATGCTGAATCATTTTTTTGAGGATTTGGTTTCTTTTTTCTTGTTTTTTTTTTATTATTATTATTATTTTTTTTTTTTTTAGAATAAAAATAACACTATAATTTCGTTGTAAAAAGTCTTACGTCGGATAAGGGCCATATTTTACATATAGCACGACTACGAAGTAATCCTTGCGGAACCGGCCCGTAGAATCGCGAATCTGCTGAATTACTGCTATTATCTCCTTCTAGCCACACGTGTCCATTTGGTACCTAAAACGAGATAGCACAGCTATATTTAGCAAAATTGTTTTAAGAGACACCTTATTCTTTCCCCCGTTTCATTTATTTTTTTGTTCATTAGTTTTCTTCTTTTTTTTTTCTTTTTTACGTAAAATTTGTGTCACATCTCAGCACGTTAAAATAACTGCTAAAAAAAGGAAAATTTTATTTAGGAGTTTTTAGGTTTCTGGCAGTCGTGAATAAAATGAATGTACGTACTGAGAAACAGTTGCTAATTTATAGTGTTACTATTTGCAGCTAAGTAGACACTAGAGACGGTAAGAGGAGAATATAGACATGAGCGTTTCTCTAACATGAGATGGAACGCGGTAGTCGGACTTCCAAGAAAACAAAAAAAAAAGAATAAATGTTATGTTTTCGTTTTTTTTTGTTTTTCTTTTCACTTCAATTAGAATATCCGAAATTCTTCGTAAAACAAATTTTACAATAAATTTAATAAGATTACTTTAATGTATAACTGTATGTAATGTAATACTGTAATACTGTAATACTGTAATACTGTAATACTGCAATAATGTAATACTGTATAATGATAATTATATTTTTTTTAAAGTTATAATCAAATTATTGTGTATTACATTTGTTTTTTTTTTAAATATATATGTACTGTGTGTGTGTGTGTGTGTGTGTGTGTGTGTGTGTGTGTGTGTGTGTGTGTGTGTGTGTGTGTGTGATTCTATAATAATAATTAAATTAAAAAATATGTTAACTATTTTCAATATATTCTGTTTATGATGTATATATACATATATCAATAAATAATAATAAGAATACTATTATAATAAGAAAATTAATTTTATATAATGTTTATATATATATATATATATATACATGCATTACAATAAATAAAAATATATATTTAATAGTATATTAAGTATACTATTTAAAGTGTATTAAGTACTCACAGTATATGTAGAAAATCCATCTCGAATACTGTCACCAGGTAAGCCTACAATTCGCTTACAAATATGTTGTTTAGGATTTGATGGACATATAGAAATAACAATATCACCTTTATTATACCACCTTAATTTTGTACTTATATGTTCTGTAAATAATACATCCTCACTGCGTATTGTCGGTTCCATGGATGGACCCGAACACTGAAATATAACAATGCACAAATACATAAAAATGAGTACAACGATTAAACTGAAGGATACATTGTATTAAATGTTATCAATATAAATTATGAAATATAATTTAGATTAAATAAGTAGCTAAGTTTTAATAAGGGTTAACGATAACATTTATGTATGCGCTCTAAGTAAATGAGATAACTATTTCTATTAGTCTTCCCAGTTAAATAGGTAATCATTAAATATAAATTCAATATGTTAATAGAACGTTTAAATATAACAACATTCAAATATATGTGTTAATCTAGAAGATACATTGTATTTAACTTTATAGATATAAATCATTATATAGAATTGATATTGGTTTATGATGACTTTCATGTATACTGCTTAAATATATATGTTAATTATTCTTATTAGTCTTAATCATCTATATATTATTAATATTAACAATCATACAATTGCATAATAATTAAATATAAATTTAGTACACTAATATAATATAACCTTAAAATTCTATGATAACATACTCACACACATTCATCACACAATAGGAGATTTTTATGAACTAAGAAATGTATATTTTTACTTACCACTACAAATTCGCCAATATATTCAAACGCACAATGTGTGATGCACGCATACTGCAAAGTAACACCTAATACACTTAAAACTTTATATATGTGTTTACTATATTCAAACGCACAATGTGGGATGCACGCATACTGCAAAGTAACACCTAATACACTTAAAACTTTATATATGTGTTTACTGAACATTATGACTAGTAGTACAGAGGTTACATGTCTATAGAAATCTTTAGTAATAAAAAAAGCATATAACATTATGCTTCCCTAAATACACATTTACATATATACCTAACATTGTTTTCTCATTAAATAAGATTTATCAACCACGTGTAATCACTGTACATCATTTTTAGTTTAATCAAGCCTAGAAAAGTATAGACAACAAATAATTTGAATTATATACATATACATTGAAATAGTAGAGCGCCATCTACGCCTGTTAAGACGTATTAGCAGAGACATCTAACGGTAAAATTTTGCAACTACTCTTACAATTTAAACTTACAGAGCACGATCGATAAATACACTTTTAATTTTTATTTGTTTTAGAGAGATAAAATATAATTAAATATCAATACTTCAATCAAATTGTTATCATTCGAAACAATATTAAATAAAAATCTAAAGTATTATTTCTTAATAATAAATACTTTTACGCGATACATAAGAATTATAGCATGCCACGTATTTTTTGTTTGTACATTTCTTACAAAGAGATTCTTATGTTTCTAAAGCATTAAAAATTATATGTTAAAGATGGTAATTAGAATAATGATATTAAATAAAATAAAACTATATAATAATAAATAAATTAATAGATTAAATTATGTAATAATGAAATTTAATTATGGCACACGACTCCTCCACGTGTTTAAATGATTTCATAATATTATATAAATTGATTAGCTAATCAATATTTATATATTATTAGAATTGGTTAAAATAATTTTGAAATAAAATAAATATTTTCTAAATAATTTGTTTCTTTTTTTAAAAGCAGGGAGAACGTGTGTACGGTTTTGAAGAGACACTGATTGTGAGATGATACACATAAACACATACATGTTACATCTTTATATTACTCGAGGTTTAAAATACAAGATGTGTTTTGTATGGTGTGCATAATTATTAAATTTAGAAACCATTCTCCTCATATACAGCTCTTTCTCTTTCTTTCTTTTTTTTTTACGGTGATATAAAATAGAAGCAGGTGATAGAAATGTAATCTTCTATTTAAAAGGCTTTATGTATTGGTTGATCAATATTCGTGATGATTAATTATGACAATGACGATGATAGGAAAATATTCATAAATGTTGTGTGAGATTGCTAAACAGGTGCACCATCATTTCTACTATTAACATAAATAATAATTACAATAATAATAACAATAACAACTGTTTATGTATGAAAATTAATAAAATAATAATTACGATGATTATAACAATGATAATAGTAACAAAATATGTGAGAGAAAATAGTTAATATCTATTAATTAAATTTTTCTGCATTTTTAATAGTTACAATAATAATAATAATAATAATAATAATAATAATAATAATAATAATAATAATATTAATGATAATAAAATATATAAAATTTTAGAAAACATAAAATATTATTAAAAAATAAATTTCCTAACATTGATATTTCTTAAGAAATTAAGATTTATTTATTTATTATTTAAAATAATAATAATAATAATGATAATGATAATGTAATGTGTATGTATGAAATTATATTTGCATACATATACGTCATGTATATACGTACAAAGTATTGTATTATCCATCTTTAATGTAGCCAATTTAATGTAACTCTACTTCTCAGATAGAAAAAGAAATGAATTAAAAAATAAATGAGTAAATAAATTAGGGTAACCGTATGTGCGAATGATTCACTCGCAATTTCATTCTATTATTAATTAAACAACAAATTATTTTTTGTTACTGTTATTGTTCTTCTTCTAAATGCAACATCATAACACTTTCAAGTGATTTTTATTTATTTATAGAACAGATCAATTCGAATTTTCAATAATAATAATAGTACTAATAATAAATATATTTATATTATGATATTAATAATAATAATAATAATAATAATAATAATAATAATAATAATAATATTAATGATAATGATAATAATGATAATAATAATAANTAATAATAATAATAATAATAATAATAATAATAATAATAATAATAATAATAATAATAATAATAATAATAATAATAATAATAAAGTGTATCGATAACTATCGTAATAACGATTAAATCCGTCTTTTACATAATTATCCTAAAATTTACAATGCCTTATTTAGAAAATAAAAAGTCGTCAGCTAATAAATATCCGACGACTCCAAATATTATTTGCGTTATTTATCGTTGCAACAAATCGATCAACGTAAATATTATTACATCGTTTACATTTAACAAGCACTTTATACAGAATTATACGATCATAAATACAATATGAGCAATTTACGAGAATTTTGAAGGGGGTGAGTCGAGGACGACGACGATTCCTGGGAAAGTTGGGAAATGCTCGCTCGTTTTTCAATTAATTATATTTTATTTTATTATTTAAGTTAGGCGCTAATGACGTCACCGACGATCGGTGGTGCACGAGAAACCTGGGGAGTGGGTGGTTGTTGGATGGGTGGTTCTTGTTGTTCTTGTTTATATTGCTTGATTTTTCGTCGGAAAGTTAGAACGTTGACAAAACATATATATACTATACATACGTATATATGTATTTAATTAGTATTTATCGATCTATGATGAACGTCCATTAAATTTATAAAAAGAGTTATCAAAATCTTATTTTTTTCTCAAGATCGATTTTCGTTTTGTCATTCTATTATTCCATTGTCCACATAATAAATATTTGAATTCAAATACCGTGAGAAAATGTCTGATCTAATTGGGATAATTAACGAACCGTTTGAAAATCCATCCACGCCATTTTGGTTGCAAGTTAAAATATGAAAAAAGAGAAGAATTTATTGACAAAAGAATAAAAAAAAAACTAATTATTTATTAATATAAATATTTTTCGAACGGGGTGGGAGAAACGCGTGTGCATTGTTTTATCGAGGTGCCAATTTCTCTCTCTCTCTCTCTCTCTCTCTATCTCTCTTTCTCTTTCTCTTTTTTCTTTACCTTTCTTTTTCTTTTGTTTTATTATTTTTAATGTCTATATTAGCTTTGTAAGCTGTGCTTGAAACATTGCAATTGCTGCTTATTTTAATAATTTTTTTTTTTTTTTGAAGAGAAACATTTTTTTTGACGCGGGTGTACAATACAAACGTGCGCTCACACGCGCACATATAACACACACGCATACATCTACGGACGAACGCATGCACACAAAAGCAAGCACTTTGAAATTATCATCATTGCATTACTTTTTTCTCCCTTTCTGACAATTATATTTTATTTAATATTATAGATTAATTATTTGTTTTTTTATTATTTTTCTTTTTACTTTCTCCCCTCCCTTTCTTCTTACACTTTTACTTGTCCTCCATCTTTAATTATTATTAAGAATTTTTTTTTATTTTACTCAATACGATGTTTACGAATAATTTTCTAGCGCATTTAATTTTTCTTCCTCTTGTTGATCTTGTCATTGTTGTGTTGTTGTTTAGTTTTCTTTGTTATTTCCGATTTTTCATTTTACATTACGAAATATTTACGACACGCATACATGCATGTACATATTATTAAATTACGTCATGTGTATCATCATCATAGGTAAATTAAATGAAATTGAATGAATTTAAATTAAAATTTACATTTAGCAGAGTAGAAATGTCAACGATCTTGAAAATGTTGGATAATTTTTAAAAGCCCAAAGATTTGGCATGACAAATTGTAGGATGACTTAGCCCCTCGTCGTACTAGAAAAAAGAAACAATTACAATAAAATTTGAATAATGTTGAATGAGAGAGAGAAAGAGAGAGAAAGAGAGAGAGAGAGAGAGAGAGAGAGAGGAAAAATTAAAAACCAAAAATGTTTATCAATTGATTTTCATTTTTTGGCTACGTCATCCTATTACACAATTACGCTCGTTTATAGACATACATTAATTTTTCCCCGATCTCTTACAGTTATTAAACAGATTTATTTTTTATAACGAAGTCTTTCATACCAATTCGAAACATTTCTTTAACATTGTACTCTTGCCATTAAAAATGTATCCAAAAAAATAAATTATACTGTATGTAAAGTATAAATAATATAAAAGAATAAATTTCAGATAAATTAGAATGATAAAAAATCCAATTTGATGGATTAAATAAAAAGAGAGGAAGAAACAAATGTTAGAGAGAGGGAAAGAGAGAAAAAAGAGAAACCATTAAAAACTCTATTTGAAAAAGAAAAATAATAAATATTAAATAATCTACATATTTCTATATGTAATAAATAATAATCTATACATGTATAACAAACTTTGGTCCAAGTTAGACGCCACCCCCCTGTCTTCCTATTTCTTTGTACCTTTTCTTCCTATTCATCCTATTTACCGATTGATTTCTATTACATACATACATTATATCAACGACTTTGAATATTTAGAATCGATTATCGAAACGCGATTCTAATCAATCAAAATTAATAAATAAAATATCTAACATTTACAATTTTACGTCTCTCGAGGTTTGTAATACGTGAGCATGCATTGTTCAAATATTTCATATATTCAACCCTTTTATACTCGAAGTATACTCTCCAAAACAAAAACAAATATAAAAATAAAAATTTAATAAACTAACTAATATAAATGCTAATAAATCTATTGAGTACATTTATCATATAAAAAATAATGTAATATAATAAAAATAAATAGTATAGCATAACAAACAAAAATTTTATACATGCTAAATCTATTTTAATAGTATTGCACTTTCTTACTTTGTTATACACTATTATTTATTAATAACTTGTAACATTGATATGAAACAATATAGCAATATATTTAATATAATTAAATAATACTTTTCTTTTTTTATAAATAAATAAATATAACTTTTCTCCGAGTTAAAAGGGGGAATAGTGTTGTGCCGAGTAACTCATTGCAATAGACACAAATGCTATATTTCCATATTCGTATAATAGAATCATTTTTATTTTCTCATAATCATCACCCATCGTCATCATCATCATTATCATTATCATCATCATCATCATTCTGACACTAATTAGTTAGGTCCAGATGAGAGGTATTTAAAAGATACTTTTATACTTCGTATATTTCTTGTTTTTTTTTTTTTTTTTTTTTTTACTGTGTATCCCTAAGAAAAAGCTGCGAAAGCTTTAGGGCAATGTTAATCACATATAATCGTTTGAATGCGGTCTTAATTAAATATCGGTAATAATAATGAAATGTTCAAAAGTGACATTAATTTTTCTCCACAATTTTTTCTTCATTATTCATTGTCTTGTTCAAATGTAGAATTAATAATCATCGTTCTATCCGCATCTCTCGCATGAAAGATATACATATATATNAATAGAATGCAAATGTAAAAAGCCATGATATGCATTTACCTTTGAATCATTACAGGTGAAACATGTTATTAAAGGATGTTATAAACATATATGCAAGGCTATCTTATTCCTTTGACTGAAAACGATATATATATATATGTATATATATATATATATATATATATATAGATAAATATATATATAGATAAATATGTATATCATATCATATCTCATCTTTTTATAATTGTAATCGTAAATAACATATTTTACATAATCGTTAGAGTTTTAATCCGGTTGTGTGTCCGAATAAACAAACGATTTGCGTTTTAATAATCAAAAACGTACAACAAGAACAGAAAGCTTCGATAAGAGATAATATGTATGTATATATGTATATATATATACTACTGTGCCTCTTGCAGTCTTTAAACACGATCTCTCACGATCCACGAGATCTTATTAGAGATTTGTTCTTCGCGTAATATTTTTTTCTTTCCCTATTTAATTTGTTTTTAAACGTTACATGTCATCCGACACTCCTCTCTTTCAATCTCCATTTTATTTTCTTCCATTTTCCTTTCTTACTTCTCCCCTTTTTTCTTTTTCTTTTTCCCATTCCTCGACATTGTCATGTTTTTTTTTTATACACTTGCATCATCTGAGACGAGGCATTTATTTTTATTATCTTTTTTTTTTTCATTTTTGTTTTGTGTTTCGTTTTAAAATGGAGAAACTACAGAGCACATAGAAATGTCTGACAAGGATGAAAAGCTGCGTATAACGCGTGAGCGTAATTATTATCTCGCACGCAACACATGTCGATATTATATTTTACATAATGGAGAAAATAATTATTATTCCTTTCCGGTCTAAATCGAGTATCTCCATATTTTTTTTCTTCATATGTCCTATATAACAAATAAAGGACACACCTTCGTAACGATATACATATACATACTTAAATAGTAATTCAATCATTTGTTTACATACTCATCGATGTGGTTCTTCTTTGGTATGTTATATTTGTGTATTTATGTATGTGTGTATGTATATAACTGTACTGTTAAGTAAATCAATTATTTTTAACAAATGATTTTTTAATTCATTCTCTCCCAGTTCCTTTCAACCCTTTTTTTTATCTTCTTTATTTTTTGCTTCTTCTTCTTCCTTTCGTTTCTCGATGTTTCACAATATTTAGGCATAAACATATACACCACCCAAAACCTAGCGAAAAATTCTAAACGCGCATTCTTAAGAGAGTATGAATCTAAGTTTCCTTTTTTTCTTCCATCCAAGATGGAAATAGAGATAATAAATAAATAAAATGAAGGATAGAATATAAATTACACAAATGTACATATAGAAGATTACGAAATTCCCTGCGAACTTCTCGTTGTCTCGTCGATGACATTTCGCAAGATCGTCGAAACGTACCGAGAAACTCGAAAACGCGAAATTGTGTTTTCTCTCCCGGCTACAAATGCTAAGGTACAATGAGTTTGTTTGTTTGTTCTTTTCTTTTTATATAGCATATTGCTAAATCGTAGAAGAAATGTAAATATGTATTTTAATATTTACTTATGTACTTATGTATTTCGCTTTTCTTATCCTGCACGTAGGCGAAGTAAGCAGGGCTTAGTTTTTTTTAAATTATTATTATTATTATTATTATTATTATTATTATTATTATTATTATTATTATTAGTATTAGTATTATTATTATTAGTATTAA